GTGTGACAGCTCTAGTTGCTTGTTTTGCGACTTTTCTTTTCAACTTGTTCAACTGATTTTTACAGCGGCAAATCTAATAAAAATTTATAAATTTAATAGTTATTACGATTAAAATGGCAAATGACTATTATGTAAATATTTCGGTGACGCCTTCGTGCTCCTCATCGCGCTGGTTGACGGAGGAAGTGTTTAAATTGATCGATATGGTGCAGCATGATGAAGCCATCTATAATCCGCGTCATAAATATTACTTTTGCCGGCCATATGTAGAGAATTTTTGGCGTGAGGTCGATCAAAAGTTAGAAAAGAATCGTAAGTAACATGGAAATGCATAGGGGATAAGATTTAGAATATATAAACACTGGGTTACTGATTTTAGCTGGCGCTAGTCTTGCAAAATGGACAAATTTGCGTATATCTTTTCGACGGGAATACACTAATTATTTGGAAGAAAAAGTGCCGCCTTGCTGGACTTATTTTGATCGAATGTTTTTCCTGCATCCCTATTTGAGGAAGTAAGTTACTATAGTAAACATATTCAGGGTTATCGCCAATTCCAAGTGAACAAATTGCTTCTATGGTTTTAATAGGCAAAACAAAAACAAATTGCAAAAATTGTATTTGTTTTGGTTAATAGTTTTTTCGAGAATATTTTTTCACGTGGAATTCGCACTAATAGTCCATTACTTATTTGTTGTATCCAGAAAACATACACAACCTAAATCGCTGGATTCACAAGTACAAGATGCGTTGGTACGCATTAGTTCCCTATCTGATCGTTTACAGCGTGAGCGCACAGCTGCGGTGGCTACACTTGGTGGCAGCAGCACTACCGGAGAAATACACGGTTCACATTTGCATTCTCAACAGCCACATCATCAGCCACTTGATAATTATTTGGAATATTTTGATGATCCGGAACACAATTCCGATGACTTAGATGATGTTATTGATGATGAACAACGGTCGCGTTTTCGACACACCGAGCAGCACATACACACACTCAATAATGACATAAAATCCGAATGTGATGATGTTAAATCGGACGTTGATGATTATGAGCCAGAGTCATTGGTGCGACCAGATGAAGAAGATAATGAATTGGAAGAGATGGAAATGCGCAACTTCATGATGGATTCTTATGCTAGTAGCAGCCCACAAATACCATTAGAGGAAAGGCGTGCACAGTTGCGTGTGCAGCAACTGATGCGTTTACAAGCACGTTCCTATCAAGAAGAATTACGCATTAAACGGCCACGCTCGCAGGAAAGCATAAGTAGCACCCAATTGAATCATGGTAATAGTGGGGGAGGTGCTGGTGGCGGAAGTGTTGGCAATAGCAGTAGCATCAGTACAATTGGTAGCGGTGGACAGCCCAACACCAATGCTGGCACCTCTATTGGCGGACACACACGCATGCCTTCCACTGCCACTAGCTCGGCTACATCGCATACAAACGTTTCATTCGTGCGACCAACACTTGCGAAACCAATGGAATTAGTGAGCACCACAACAAGTAATAGTGGCAGTGTGGGTCTCAGCGTAGGAACTGGCGTTAGCGTTGGCAGCACACAAATAAATATTGATGCCGACTTGAATGCAAGTAGCACAACAAATGTAAGCAGTCAAGTAGCATCCGCTTCGACCGTTTTAAATCAACATCAACGCCACACCGGCAATGCCCATCAGAATCATAATTACAATAGTGTTAGTGCTGGCGGTAGCAATAGTACGCATCATCGTTTAGAAATTGTGGGCGTACCAGCTGGCTCTGGAGCTAGCGGTTTGACAGCAAGTGGTCAAGGCTCGGCAGGAACATCGGCGACAGCGCTCATAACTGCACCACCGGCAGCCGCTGCGCCTGCTGCAGTAGCTTCGACGCATGTGGAGTTGTGCGACTGCAAAACAGATCCGGATGCAATGTTCCTTATGAGTTTACTACCAGATATACAAAAATTAAATGGACGCGATCGAGGCAAAATCAAGATAGCTTTTCAAAACATACTACAGGACTATTTGTATCCAGATTAGTTGTAAACTTAAAGGAGAAATCAGAAATCCTGCTTCAAAGTGCCGTGTGGCGGCAGGGTATGTACGTTTTGAGCCACTACTATAATTTAAGTTTAGCGGTAGAGATTGCCATCTTTTTTTTTTGTTTTTACTATCTAAATGCTTAGGAATGAGTTTTATGTGCAATTATTCTTTCCCGTTAGCCCACGATTAGAGAAATAAGGCGATGTAAGTCAAAATGAATACGATTGAGCTAGTCTAGTAGAAAAATTAAATGATGGCATGTCTTTTACACTAGTGACTAGTCTATGTAGATCTTTATAAGAAACCTTTCAAACCTTATGATAAAAAGGCTTTGTTAAAAATAATTCCCCGCATAGCTTGCAAGAAAAATTCCATCATTAGGATTATAAGCATATTTAGGTTATTCACACAAACAAAAATATGTACACTAAACAATAATAATCTTCAAGCAGATAAACTATTAAGTAGGAAAGTGCAACAGTATTCCTTACATTCATAAAATGTTTGCATATGTGATGCTTATAGTATAGTATATTTTTAAGATTATATTTATATGCGTACATTTATATGTAGGCCACACATACCCTGCAGTAAAAAATGGAGGCGGTCCTTTTGTAACAAAGTCTTCAAATGTTGCACGATGGATTTAGAATAGTGATCTGATAACTATTCCACAGGTCGAAGTGGAGTTAAATTAAAAATAATAGGCAAAATACACCACACAACATGTCTGCGCAGATTGTCTCGTCGTGTATTTCGCCGCTTTATGTTTGCACAGATGGTCTCACATACGCTCTGTGTAAACTCCAAAAATTTTGATATTGGTCGCCGAATTTTGACATAATTGATTAGCTTTCATGAAGTGTAGACCTGCGCGGATAAACATGGAGGAAGATAATCAATTTCTGTTGAAATTCTTTAAAATGTAACATTTTTTTAAATGTCTGTATGGTGTATGGCGTATTGTGTGATATCCGCACCGCGGAGAAAGTACTCGCGATGCGCAGACTTTCTGTGCGGTGTATTTGGCCTATAAAAAAATTAGTACGATCCTTAAAAAAATGTGGTAAGGCCAGTTTTCAATGGCTTTTATCGTCAAGTAAAAACATATAAGGGGTATTCTCGGAGTGTTGCATGTAGTTCGGATTCTATGGAATGCAAAAATACTATTCCAAATTTGCAAGAGCACGAGATCGCCCATGACAAAATAGTAGCACGCATAGGCAGCAAGCAGTGAAATTCTGTCTCAAGTGCAATAACAAGATACAGCAAAAAAAATGAAGTAAGCGAAATGAGAGAAATATCCCAAGAAACATTTAGGTTTGAGCTCAACTTGAGTTTAATTGAGAACTAAGGTATTTCTCAAATCTCCAACGTTGTTTCTCAACAGTACCTCAATTGGAGGATCATAGCGTTCTCAACAAAAAGGGCATTTTTCTTTGTATGAAACAGGGATGGGCGAAATCAAGAAAATGAATAATTGAATAAAAAAAAAATAAGAATAAATTTTCATTCATCATTTCAAAAATTTTGAATGACGAATAAATTTTTATTCTTTATTCAAGCACTTTAGAATAATGAATAAATTTTTATTCTTTATTCAAACATTTTCGAATGATGAATAAATTTTTATTCTTCATTCTAGCACTTTCGAATAATGAATACATTTTTATTCTTTATTCAAACATTTTCGAATGATGAATAAATTTTTATTCTTTATTCAAACACTTTCGAATGATGAATAAATTTTTATTCTTTATTCAAGCACTTTCGAATAATGAATAAATTTTTATTCTTCATTCAAGTAATTTCGAA